CAGCTTTGTCTTACCCTTTTGACTCTTCTACAGGAAGTGTCTACCTTACACCTCCTTTCTTAGGTATTCCACCTCTATCTAGGGGATTTTTATGGGATACCTTTTCCTTCTCCTCTCCATATTGGAGCATTTGCCATCTTCAGTTTTTTCCCTCTACACATGGCTTCTTTGCTTTTGGGATCGTTTTGTATGGGACACTGTCTTCTACTATTTGTTTATGATTCACTTCTAATAGGGATTTACGGTCAGTTTTTTTCTCCAACCGGTTCTTTTTTTAGAGCTACTCCTGTGCATTTAGCATCATGTGGAGTATCTGCAATGCTATATTCTTTTTTTGTTGTTGTTGGATGCTCTTTTGTTGCATTCTGAGTCATTACCATCTTTATTCATGTTCCATGTCTGGCACCATCCCATCCTTTACCTGTTCTACCTACAGTTTCTTCATTTGCCATGTATTCTCATTGCTGGTTGTAATTCTGGATAGATTGGTCCCACCTCAATCACTTTTGGTGCTTCCCTGTTTTAATATGTAGTCTTTGATCGTAGTAGAGTGGGCAATTTCTGCAGGACTGAGAATGCCCACTGTACACATTCTTATTTTTCATTTTTCGGGACACTATCTTAGGTTTTTTTCACCACCTGATTTGGGACCAGTTTCCTGCCTTGCCCTTCAGACTTTTCAGTTCTGTATGTTTGTCAGGAGGTTTGTATTTTATCCAACTTCTGCATTTTGGAGGATTTTATTAACACCACTACTTGGGCATCTGGCTTCAGTTAGCTCCTTCCGAACTGAGGTGGTCATAACATACTCATCTGATTCTTACACAAGCAGCTCGGATGGTTGGATTTTCCAGTTAGATAAATTTTCCTGTTACCTGCCTAACAATTTCGACTACTTGGGGAAGGTATTTTTAATATCCCCGTCCGTAGGAACCATCCTTTCTCCTCGTCGAATGAGTTCCCTGGAGCTTTCTTTTATCCATGCCAAAAAAAAAACCCTATAAAATAGGGTGTTTCTTGTTTGCAGGTGTGATTTCAGGTTAGAAATTCTAAATTTTATTTTAATGTGTAAAAAACATTAAATGTCAAACTTCATCCATTTTGGACCACATTTAGAGGTTGCTCAATGAGGTTGAAGCTCTAGACTGCTATTGCTTGGTATGCACTGTTGTGATATAAAAACATTTGTTATGTAATATAAATGATTTATTTAAAATTATTATTTTATTGCATGTACTATAGTATAATTATTTGATTTTGGTTTGGTTAATCACTTTTGCATTGTTATTGTTTCCTTTTTGCTGTTAGGAAAGCATCTTCTATGATCCTGCACAATTTAAGGGAGTAATTGTTTCTGTTATTCTTTGTTATGATGGCATTATTTTCCTCAATAAGAGCTATACTCCTTTCAGCATTGTCAGTTACCATGTTCAAGTGTTGAATTGTCTGTAGTGCCTTCCTGTAGTCCTCTCTGAGCTTCCATGACTTGGGGTCATAATCCAGATGGAACTTCAAGGTACTTGAAGAAATCTGTCGTGTTTTTGTAATGAAATCTTCAATTTAAATGTCTTTAGAATTTCTGAAATTTAGCTGGTTGTGCTTTGGAGGTTCATTCTTGCCTTCCTTCTCACTTAGTACTTTATCCATTGCTCATTTTTAATCAAATGAATCAACAAGTTCCTCATTGAAATACTGTAATGTTCAGCAAATGTTGACAAGCAGGTTTTTCAAAGAGCAGAATTCACCTTCTTATACTTAACAAGACATTGTAGGAAGTTAAGATTGTTGCAAGGAGCAGAAGTGACATCAGGAGCAGTGAACTATGCCCAAAATAGACTTGAACAACAAAAATGCAGGTTTTGGAGTTCTCTTTCCTCATGGCCAGTGAGATTTAAACTGTTTCATAAACATTCAAGTCTTAAGGAGATATAATACCTTGGCCATCCATTGTGCATGATGCAGTGCTCCAGGTGCTATAAATTGCACTCCACAAGGAGGGATGCTACCAAATGCTTACATACCCTAAAAACATTCTTGAACGTACTGTCATGTCATACACAATATTCTAGAAGCAAAAAGTGACAGCATGGATTATTTATACATGGAATGTTCTTGAGCATTCTTAAGAATGTAGAATACTCTGAAATATTCCAGAATATGCTAGAATATTCCATAATAACATGCTAGAACATTCCAGAATTATTTAAAATATTCTGAAACATTCTAAAATATTCAGAATATGCAGATACAATGCAAGTTACAAGATAAAAATTTCATCTGCCTTGAGTTGCCCCTAAATGTTATTCAGTATAGATAATATTTTATGTGAATTACTTAATTATATATTAGAACAAAATGAGGGGCTGAGAATGTTGTAAGACCACCTTACTATACAATTATTACTGTTCTACAGATCTTTCTACACTTCAGTTTTTGCAACCACATTCTTGTTACTGGTTAACAATAAATGTAAAATGAACCCCTATCCCTACAAGTTGTCTATCTGCTCATTCACTTACAACAGTCTGCAGTTCATCCCTTATACAGAAATAGCACACAAATTTTATAAAGTATATTACAGTTAATATCTTTTAACATAGAATTTTAAAATAATTCCTAATTACAAGTGTTATCTAAATCAAACGTTTGGTAATTCCCATCATGTCAGCCCTTCATTTCATCTCTTCTGTTCCTAATACTCCTAATGTTATAATAACAAATGTTTATCCTAAAATCTGAAAGACTTATCTTTAAAACTGATGTCTAACTTGTCATGCTATGAATCTTTATCCAATTTCGTCATTTCTCTAATTATCCTATCAGCTTGTTTATTCACAATTTTCCAAGCTCCCTTACCACTATGCTATTTTAGGTGAATCTGTCTTTAATGAATATCTTTATTTAGAGCTTCTCCTAACATCCTACTACCTAGCTTGCTTAAGTGAGTCCACCTCTAGCATATAATTTACCCTTACCTTAAACTGTCTCATAGGTCCAACCAGCTCACCTATTTCTCTAAGCATATCCTTGATAATCTTTCACATAATCCTTGGATCCTGCTAAGTAATACATTGCTGCATCTAGCCTGAAATAGCACTCCCAAAAGGGCCAATGTCTATGTTTATCCCTAAACCTCTGAAGTAGTTCTTTAAATGTTTGAAGCGAAGCAGTTTTCCTAATTTACAGTTTTCAACCTTATTCCTTCTTGTGTGTACTACAAAAAGAGAATGCTTCTTGGTACCCATAACTGAACTATCAGTTTGCTCTATAATGTCCTCTAGTGTCTGGCAAGCAAGTTCTATTCCCAGTGTTTTTGTTTCCCAATACAAATAACTTTATTAATATACTTTGAGAGAGTTCCCCACTATGTAAGCTACTTGATCATCATGTTACTCCTTGCAAGCAACCAAAGGCTCAAACCTATTTGAGATTGTTAAGTGAATGCTAACTGAGCATGGCTTCATTGGTCTGACCATTTTTCAGTGCTGTTCACCCTTGTAAACTCTATAATCCCATTCTCACACTCTTTCAAAGCAATATTTACCCAAATTCTAACCATTTCCTGTCTTAATTTATTCTCTTAATTTGTTGTTTTTCCCTATTTAATAGTACAATCTTAAAGCTTTCTTTAACTTATCCTTAAGTAAGCTGGTTCTGTAAGCATAGTGTAGTGTATCTTTCTAAGCCTCCTGAGAGACAATGTCAAGCCTACAGCTCTCTAATAACCAAATAATGGCACCTATTACAGCCTATAAAGTCCACCTCAGTTTGAACTACCTTTATTCTGTTACCAATCTATCCACCCATTAATTGTATATATATATATAATCAAAATTAAGCCATTTTGTGGTTTATAGATAATACTGTACATAAACCTGATGCAATTTCCTATTAACTAATACTGATATCGTTAATTACAAGTACTCGGGTACAATGTACAAGACTCTTGTTACGTTGTACTAATTGCTAATTTAAATTATTTTCTAATGCATTAAGTTCTCAGTAGCTACCAAATAACTTAGATAACATATGTGATAATCTTACAATTGAAGATTTAATAACCTTCATATCGTATAACATAGTACTAGTACTTAAAACACTTAAACTTAATCTACAACTACATCTGGCTTCTATCTCGGAGCCAAAAAAGTATTCCTTTCATTACTCTCAACAGCTCTCTGAACAGAAACTCAACTAATTATTCTTTTACTTCATTAATGCTTAACTTAATCCTATGTGCAATGGTGATGGTCAAAGTGCATATTCTTGATGTTGTACAGAGTGCTATTCAACATTAGTATTATGAAATTGATGTCAATTACTAACATTTCATGTTACCATAAATTGCTGATTTTGTGTTAGATTAGATAAAATACCAGATACAATATACAGGGACTCTGAAACAAAAAAATTAGATATACAAATTGTATGATTGGCAAAAGTATTTCTATTCATCGCACGAATATCATCTTGCACTCTGACTCGTCAATCTGAGTCATACTGACTTCTTCATTTCACAGGTGTAACTTTAGTACAAAACTTTACTAACACACCTGATTTTTTGTGTATAATAGATTTGCACTGTTTACTTGCCACATTTTGTGATGATAAAGTTCATAAATTCAGAGTTACATTCAGCATTACTTTTCTAACATTAGTTTGGTCCAACTGTCTGATCCCATGCACATCCAGTTAATTGCTGAGAATAAACAACAAATATTTAAATTTCAGTATAAGGTAAATAATTTTTAAAAGACCTGTCATGAGAAACTGTATACTTAATAATAATATGCTAATTTATAATATTACATAACAATACATTATATGAATGGTAATTTTTTCTTCTTCTGTAACATTTGTTTTTGTTTTCATTAAGTTTGGACATTTTTATTTTGCTATCTAAAAGTTTATGAATTAATAGTGTGTAATAGTCATTTATAATAATTCCTATTATACTTGAGACCACACACTTAAGAATGATTGATTCTTTTTGTTGTCAGGTTCAACAGAGAGACATTCCTGGTATTGATGCTGCTTATTTAGCAATGGACACAGAAGAAGGTGTTGAAGTTGTTTGGAATGAAGTAAAATTCTCCGAAAGAAAAAGTTTCAAGCCTCAAGAGGTAAACACTATTGTAATTAAATAAGAAAAAATTTTATCGATTTTAATTTTTACATAAATATTTCAATTTGAATGAACCATATATAGCTTATTTATTAAGGTGCATCACAAGTTGGTGTTGTATGTATATGCAATGACTTTTATTCTTGTGGTTCATTTGTATATAAGCCTGTAAGTATTTTCACATGCAAGACTTTTTGTGATAAAAAAAAAAAAAGAAGAAAGAAAATAATTGATATTATACATTAGAGCTTGGCAGTTAATGGAGTGTGGTAATCAGTTAATCAATATATATATATATATATACTTATGAAATAGCAACTATATTACTGTACCAATCAGCAGTTATGTTAGCTATTTTAACAAATGGATGTACATATGTAGTAATATGTTGTAGCTCTGTTATCCTACTGTTTTTTTAAGTAGCCTGTGGTAATTATTTCACATTGAAACTTTTTGTATATCATAATTTCTTTCATACATAACTATAATGTGACCACTTTGTTTGATAAAATTAAAAGTACTTAAAATTTTCACTTTTCTATTCAGATGTGAAAAATATTCCATTTTCTATTATGGACATGAGAACTATCTTCTTTTACATGATTTCTTTCAGGAAAAGATTCGTCAGGTGTTCGATAATCTTACCCAGTTAGAACATCCAAACATTGTGAAGTTTCACAAATACTGGACTGACAAAGATTCAGAAAAACCTCGGGTAATCTTTATCACAGAGTACATGTCCAGTGGCTCATTAAAACAGTTTCTGAAGAAAACTAAGAGAAATGTAAAAAAATTTCCTTTGCAGGTATGAATTTGCTAAGAATGTTAAACTTGATAAATAATCATCTGAAATATTACTCCTTGATTGCATTCCTACTAGATTTATCAGAAGTTTTTTCTTGAATTTCTTAGTTTTGGAAAAAACATTTTAATGTTGAAAACATAAGAAGCTTGATAAAACAAATTTTATCTTTTCAGGCTTTTAATGTGAGTATTCACATTTTTTTAAGTAATTTATATGGACTGTCACCATGTTATTTTAGTTTTTTTGATGCACAAGCTTTTGGCTCAATTACCTAAGCCTTTTACAGGTGTGAGACGTTTAGTAAACGACAAGATGTAACAGAACTCTAAACATAATGATGAATTTGAAATGCAGATTTTTTAGAATACTATTTACTTCTTAACAGAACAGACAGCTTATACCTTGTGTCACTGTCAAACAGTTTTAGTGCATGCATCAAACCACTGAAGTATATTTTTTCTTACATTCATTTTGTTTCTTCTCTTAACTTTATTATCATGGCTGGATCAAAGTGCCCATTATATCATTTTACAGAGCTACATTTAAATTTTAATAAAACAACTTTATTATCAGTTTATAATTTAAGTAAGTATTCATTTCTTAATTTTAAAAAGAAATATTTAAAAAAATTTTCTCAATCTTCATTTTTTGTATTAGCTTTGAATTCATTACTTTAGAATTTTGTAACTTCTAAAATAGGATGTTGCAGTGTCCAACCCATTAAGAACACAAACTATACATAATTACAAGCAAAATTATAAAATATGAACCTGCTATCTTTTTTTCATTAAAAAAAAATCAATAAATTTGTCAAATCAATCAGAGAAGCCCTCTACTTTCTGAAATATGCATCACTGATTGACATATTTATAATTAATAAAAAGAGCAGATTCTCCTCTATATTTAGCATACAGCCACTTTTTTTAATTTGGCTGCAAAAAAGACTAATTGAGAATATGCACTTGATTTGTGTTGAGCAAAGTTGTTGATCCGATCAGGAATGGAATTTGAACCTATTTATAGCTTTCTTAGAAAGCCACGTAAAATATATGGTTTTGTGAAATTCTATATTATTAATTTATGTTCTTGTTTTTCCTAAACTACCTATTTTATTGAGACACAAATGTGTAAAATTCACTAAGGCTTACCAGCAGTTATAGCACAAGTGCAAAGATTAAGTGATGTTTACATAAAACCTAAAGGAAACAGCTAATAAGCTTCTACTATAATTTACTGCTTTTGGTGGAGTCTTGTTATCCAAAGTACAGACAATAAAACCATAGAACTAAAGATAAGTAAATTGAAAATATTTCAACAAATGATGTATTCAAAGAAGAAAAAGAGGTATTATTCATTTTCATGTTTTTCAACTTTTCATTTCAATATACATTGATCATTTCATTAAAGTTAGTGTTAGGGAAGAGAAAATAATGAAGTTTTGCTTTATTACATGTTATGCAAATGAAATATGAAACTGTAAGATGGGAATAAGTATTTTTGTTCTTAGAATTATAATCACCCTTCACTCAAACTGACTCAGTGAAGGATTTGTAAATTCACAAGTGAATTTTTAGTAATAATAATGATTTTTGTGAACAAAAACTTGGTAATGTTTTCACAAAATTTGGCAAATTTTAGTATATATACTTAGTAAATTCAGAGTCATAATGTGTATAGTTTCATGGTTACAAAGTAGTTACAAGGTGATACAAAATTTAACATGACCTATGTACTACAACATACTAGACCTACTAAATTAATATAAAAAAATAATAAAAGTACTACTTTCCATGAATTCAGTTTTGTGGATGTTATTAAATATGATTTCTCATATCCATGTTTCTGAAACCAAACTTCCTGTGGTTCAGACTATCCTCCATAGGAGTTGTCTTAATTTCTTTAAATGAGGACTAGAGTTACTCTGGTACAGTGTTACCAACATTGTACATTACATAGTTTGTTCTATCCTAAGTTTTTCATCTCACACCTAGGATATGACTCCCTGTTTCTGTAACTGCTGCTGAACTTGCCTTGTCTTTGGATGTCTCTGACCAGCTCTTCTTACAGTCTGCTTTGCATCTGGTTTTTCCATTCATTATGATGATAAGGTAATGTCCACCTTTGTCCTTTGATAACTTAAGTTTGTGACATTTGTTCTTTTGCCCCAGTAATTTCTGCTGGATTTCAGGCAAGCTTCTTAAATTCATCTCAACTCATAATATTTTTTCCCCTTTTACTCCATTTCTTGATTGTTGCATTATTTCTGATTCTTTCTGTTTCATGTTGACTCTCAGTTGCTGCCTCTTCTGTGAACTTAAGACTCCTTCTCTGTTTCCTGTGGTTGGAATTCTTTCTCTTTATTTTGAGAGCTCCTGTGCCAGACTTGAATCTCTTCTCCCAGTTTGGGGATTTTCTTCTAATTTGACTTTCATTTACCCTCAGTCTACTTGTCTTCATCCTTCATTAGCTTGCTGTCTTATATCCTCTTTTCTTCTGAGGCTCTGCATTGTTAACACATTTTTATTGGGAAAGGTCACACTAACTTGTTCTTCATGCTGCTTCATTTTCTTCTTCAACTGGTGCCCAGTTCACTTGCTCTTTTTCTTGAATTTGTATCACCAGGATGCCTAATATTCTGGAGATTGACTTTCTCAGTTTTATGTTGGGAGAACTCCATCTGACATCCTTCCTTCATGCATACATTTTGGGGGGAATTCCTCATCCTGTTACTCCTTCCTAGTGTCCTCCCTCTATCCAGGGCTCTGTGTTCAGTTGTTTCTGGAAATAGCCCTAAGTTTTGGTCCTGTGGGATCTTGGCTCTTACAATTTGTCTACCTGTGGACTCACTTTGCAGGAAATCCTTGGGTCACACAGGTTTTCTCTTAGGTGCTTTCTTTGGCATTCAAGGCGTAAACCTGTCTGTTTTCAACTAAGTCCTAAAAGATATCATCTATTATGATCTCCCTTATTTTTTGAGAGTCTGTTCATTTGGTTTGGCTGGTCAGACTCTGAAGTAATTATTGTCTCCCATTCAGTATCTGATTCATTTGGGAGTCTTTATCACCTCCTTTGCTGGGTGAGCTGAGCCTCCTTTACACTTCTGAGACATGGAGCTTCTGATTTTCAAGGCTGTCATATCTCCTTATTCATAAGGTTTTGTGTCCCATTCAGTTAATTCTGGAAGATCATTGGAATATACCCTTTGATCCACTATGCTTACTCATTTTTCAATTTTATCAACTTACTGCTCACTATCATGGTCACTCAAACATTTTCACATGAATATGAGTACCCATGTTTTTCTACCCCACTCAAATTTACATGTGTTCACAGTACCTCTCCAGCTGGTTGGGTTGGGTTTCTGGATGTTTTTACCAGTTTTGGTGTTTGGTCTCCTGCAGAATAGTTTTTCCACATCAGTGTGCTTGATGTTTGTTTCAGCTATCTGAACTTCCTGTTTTGATCTATTTTGACAACTCCACTTTTAGGCTCTTGACAAAAGCATCTAGTTTTTGTATTCCATATTGTGAGAGCTTTGAATTTAGTGGAAGACTGACTGTATTGCTCAGACAAAGTCCTTTCAACAGGTGGTTTTTACATCTTCCAAAGTTTCTGTAGATATATTCTCTATTCAATGCACTTGTAACACGCTCTACACTAATCTTACACTTTATGTGTCATCAGTCCCTGACTTTATGACCCTGTCGTTATTCCCTCTGGATTGGTGTGCCCTTTTTCTGTATGCCTATCCTCCTCTTCTAATTATTCTTAGGATGCTGTCTTTAATTCATACCAATCCTTGCCACTTTCTTCTCATTGCCTCTCTTTCACCAGTTCAACCATGATTTCCACTCCTTTGCCTCTTGGTGTTCCTGGGACTTCTGTCTTGGAGGTCCCTTTTTTTTTTACATCAGCCTTTTACACCTATCTATAACCATGATGTTCAACACATCCATCTTCACATGTGGACCTTTGCATTGATCTCTTGCAAGATGGGCCTTTTTTTTCAACTACTCTGTGTTCTTGCTGGCTCATATTGGCCATCCATCCTTGCAATTTATCTCTGCAAGTGGGTGATTTATAGATGCTGGTCCATTTGTCACTCCTTTTCTCCAGGTTTTCAAACTCTTTCTCAATGCCTTTTTTACTTGGCTTGCAATGGTAGCTTATCCATTTCTACAATCAATGGATATGGTGAAGCTTTGTTGAAGACCTTCTGTCTTTTCTCTGGCCATTTTCCTTTTCTTTCTGTAGTTTTCACAGACTTCTCCTGAGTCTTTCCAATCAGTTCTCCTAAGCTGATTCCTGTTTAGTTCACGGGGCTCTTGTATGTCCTTTATTTGAACCTTTAACTATGTGTTCCCATATCATATTTTTGTTGAGATGTATTTTCTTCCCTTTTTTTTACTTTCATGAGATGCTCTTATCACAAGAACAGCTTAGTTACTGAGCTTGATAAATAATAGTGGAATTCTATGGTATTTATATAGTAATTTAAGAGGTTTTTGGTTATTCAACTATATATATACAAAACCTAAAAAAAATTAGTTTGCTTCATATCCTCCATGTGCGAAATTTTTAAAAGGTTTAGCAACCTACGTCAAGCAGCAACAGAGTACAAAGGTCATAACTAGAAGAAATAATTGTTTGCTTCACTTCTTTATTTACTGTTCTATGTTGTAAGAAAAATATGCTTAAGAACTTATTTCTAAAAAGCAATAATCTGTATACATATATAATGTATAATAATTGAAATGTAACTGTATTTTACTAAATTATAGTCTATTAAAACACAGGCAAAACAGGTCACTTTGTAAAGACTAAAGGTCAATTATATATTATTGGATACGATGAAATGAGTGCACATGTGCTACCGTCATTGTAACTTTCGTATTGTTAGCCAGGCACAGCTGAAAGGTCAATATAATAAAAAATAATGTATATGTAAAAATGTATAATATTATCAGATTTAAGCTATTTAGTCTAAAAATTTATGTTTT